GATGGATGGATGGACGGCGTAAGGCTGTGATTTAGATATATGAGGTGTGGCTATTAAACATGAAGAGTAGTGCTGTAATTCACTTTTAGTTCATCTGATCAATGTATACCACATGGTTCAGACACTGTGGTTCCACCGGACACAAGCCCGTCTCATTATTTAAAAGCCGCCCCTCATACATTATGCAACGCATCTGACTAAGAGTTTTAACTGTAGCATCAATGGTTTTATGAATTTATGCCGTCCTTTTTGTCTGACAGCCACACTCCCGATGGCGTCCCAGGGTAGTGCTTCATCACACTTTAAATTAGTTACACAGAGAATATTGAACTGAAGGTTGACGTCATCCTGAAGATTACAATTACACAGAATCTTTCAGCCCAGGTAATGGAGACAGCAAGAAATACTATTACACAAATACTAAAGCCCATAAAATCACAATCTGTCCATTTCTATATTTTGGCTTTCATATCGACTCAACAAACAAGATTTGATACCTTATTTTGGGAGTTAAAAGAGGTGTTGGTAAATGTATTTGACAAACCAATCTCTATCGTTTCGCCATTTCCAATCTGTATTCTCACCTAGTTGGGTGCAGCTACATATATCAAGACAAATATAGGAGTGATATCAATCTTCTTCACTAATGCGCCACAAAAAAAGCAAACGAACACATACAAAAATGTTTCCTTGTTGCTTCACTGCTTCGAACATCTTTTTGTTCTCATTTCAGGTTCAAATTTTAATTATACCCTCTTCTTTTTTTCTTTTTTTGGCTGCAAAACAAACCCATTATCTAATATTTCAGGGGAGCTCAAGTGATTCCAACTTCCCAATAAAGTCACCGCCGCTGCTTTACATATCTCAAAGTGAATAGCCTGACAACAACAAAAAAAAAATCCAATTACTCACCGTGAGCCAATTTGTCAAACAAAGCCCCTGACCACGGCGAGTACACGACATGCCCTTTACATTGTGATATTAAACCACTCCGGATGCAGATGGGCTCCACTTGTTAAGATGTAATTTTTTTTTTTTCCCATGCAGTCACCCTCTGATGTGATCCTTTGTGTCAAATCCCTATTTAATAAGCACTTCTCTGCATTCAAGTTCGGAACAAAAACAAGTCAGCTTCCGTTAATGGTTCTCATAAGTCAAGGAGGCCTCTTTTCATAAGGTTATTAAGATGACTTTGAATTTAGACAATGCAGCTACCGACCCTTACAGGGAGCTTTCCAGGCATGGCACGCCGTGTCCCCTGTGTTTTTGCTCTGTCAGACAGCTTAGTAATGGGGGTGATGGGATTGCATTTGCTTTTTTTGTAATCTACCAGATGATGTCCTTCCAAAAACACAGCAAAGCTCTTTTCATAATGTGCACATACTGTACGTCAAACTTATCAGATGCTATTTTTAATGCCTGTTTAGAAGCTCCATGGCGACTTTGCTTTATATTTGCTCGGTTGATTTGTGCCAGTCACCAGATGTCCTTCAGCCCCTTGAAAAGGCCGTTAAAGCTGTACGTTTTGGTCCCATGTGGGAGCTCTAAACATGTTTCTTTAAGTTCACTGACCTGGATCTGTATATGACGATGAGATATAAAGAGAAACTGCTTTGTTTGGCTGTAAAACGTTCTTTTAAATCATATCAGTTCTCCAGCTCTCCTCCTCTGCAAGGCGTCCCATTGCCAGAACAGTAAGTTGCTTAGTGACTCCAGCACCGGGATGAGGAATCTAAATCTTGGGTTTTTATGGCACACAATGCATTCTGTTTATGATACACCGTCATCTATTTGAGAGCTTCGCACACTGTTGCCAGGAGCCTTTTTATGTGCATTACGAAAGCAAAGCGGATGGCCACAGAGGCATCTAAACAAACACGATAGTATGAACTGCAAAGCATGTTGTGAATCATATATTTACAGTGTTTCTCGGGATGGCAAATATGAACAGCAATCTCATGGGAGCATGTGAGTGAGCACAGCTGTGTGAACCTTTACTGAGTCAGTTTGTGTGTCAGGGTTTGGTGAGTAAGGGACTCTGCAGGAGGCTGAGGGATTGGCAGGTGTGGAGGGGGAAGGGGAGGAGCAGGAGCGATCTGCCAGCGCTGTGCTGGTTTTTCACTCAAATGCTTTTGAAAGAAAGAAGGCAAAAGAGCCCGGAGCTGACGCACAGCCGGACGTGACAACAGGAAGTACAGAGGCGGGTTCCAGCACGGTGCCAGGCACACCAACAAAATGGCCGCCAGGGAAGCCACTTCCCACAGCAGGGACACTCTGGTCGGTGTTCCCTCGCTCGGCTCAGGAGAGGTGGCTGACGGAGGGGAAATTGAAGACAGCTTACTTCCAAATCTGTTAATGGGAGAAGCTGCCGAGCTAACATAAGGAGACATGACATTGACAAACTCGACTGCGTAGTACGGCAGCCAGCTAACTGCAAAAACCAGCGTTGACCCAATGAGCAGGGCGGTTGCTTTCTTGTTGCGCCTGTCAGCAGCCAGCGTTCCCCTGCAGCTGTGGAGGTGGGAGATGATGAGACCGCAGTTGATGGCAATGCAGAGGAGAGGGACCACGTAGTAAACCAAGAAGGCAGGAACCAGGAAGAACAACCACTCGTCTTGGCCGACCGACCACGTGCAGCCGCTGTCAAAGTTGATGTAGGTGACTTTTGGCAACGCCATGGTCAATGAGACCAACCAAATGGCTACCACAATGTATAACCTGTGGAAAAGGGAGGAAAAGTTTATTCATCGTGCAAGACTACGTACAAATTAATCTGCTCAACTCAACTTAGCATCCTTAAGATTCCTCTCATATTGGATTTGTAGCACACAGCAAATTTACAGAACATATATGTATAAAGTTGTCTTCACTTTAGCAGAATCTTTCCCTAAACCTGAAACAAATACAGTTGCCATGTGCAGGTGTTGTAGTTCAAAGTTAAGCACTAGCATGTTTGCAAAGCTGCACATGGAGACTCGGAGAACCATTAGCATCCGGTTAAAGTTGTGTCTTTGGTCACTCACTGATTGCAGTTCCAACGGTCCCACTCCTTTTAGCTCTGCTTGGTTCTCCACCGACTCCAAAGTGAAACATCAGAGTTTTTAGCCGCTAATGGTTCCACCATGTTAAGCACATACAATAAAATGCCAGATTTTGTACTACTTTTGGATACTGTAATGAAAGAAATGCTCACATGGATGTCAAATTTGATATATCCCAGTAAGTAATCCCACTGCTAACCTAACATGAATGCATGTAAGAGATGTAAAGTAGTATTTCACTTCTTTGGTGCTTTTGTTCAGTTGAACCAAACATTGAACCTGATTTATCAAACTGTAAATCCTTCATTATTCTTCCTTCTGGATTCACACAGCAACAGTTGTGGATACGACAAATGCATAGTTGTTGTTATTTTACTTCTTTTCAGAGTCTGCTCAGAGGACTCTGTGCGCACTGCTGCCAAATATTTGCACTTTTGCCCTTGCAGCATAGTTGCTATGCAGACTGTTCATGCAGACACAAATTTTGGGATGTATGCGGCTTTCCACGGAGAGTCTGCATGAGAAAACAAAATTTAGGTCACACCTTGCATACTCATACCACCAGCCGAACACGAACCTGGAACTCAACCCAGCACCAACACTGCTGGAGCCATGCATGTAAGGTGATGCACTGTGTAAGTGTTATGAGAAAAAGTCAGATTTTAATTGTGTATAAGCAAAACATTTTAGCTGGAATTTAGTTAAACTCTGTCAAAAATGCATTTTATCTTTGAACTTTAGTGTGTGCTGTAATTTTGTAAATTAAAAAAACATATTTTTCCTCATAAATATGCATGCATCACTGTAGGGGGTGCCGCAAAGAAACACTCAACGCTCAGGAGAGATGAGGAAAACTGCAAGAAAGTTTAAAAAAATGCACTTCATACCCCTCGAGGTACTATTAAAAAGATATCCCATGCAGCAACAGTTCAATTAAGGGATTTTACCAGGATTGTCTGATCATAATAATTTTAAAAATCATCTAATTACATAAAGGTTCTGCTCTTTCTTCAACAAACCCACCTCCACTTGCCGGGTGATACTCACACTTGTGTCAGACTCGCAGGTGGCCTCGTCCGCGGTGCAACGATTCGATACCTCAACACCGACAGCGCCGCCAGGCTGAAGATCTCCACTCCCACTGTGACCGAAGTCATGAATCCCAGGAGGACGCAGGTCGCGCCGCCGAGCTGCCAGTTCTGGAAACTGGCGCTCAGAAGCACACAGGGCAGCGTGAGCAAGGCGCCCAGGTCGGCCAGGCTGAGGTTGAGGAGCAGGACGGAGCTCGGCTTGGAGCGGCTGCGGGGGTTCCTCACCAGCACCAGCCACAGCAGGAGGTGACCACCGACCCCCACCAGGAGGGAGACCAGGCTGACCATCGGCAGCACCACGGTGAAGGAGATGGTGGTGTTGGTGGAGACCACGTTGAAGAGGAGGTTGACGATGGCCGGCATGGCTTTGGGCAAATCCGACGGAACAAGACGTCACTGCGAAAGTCAAATGGAGGACAGCTGAGCAAATAGAGGAACGAAAGAGAAAAGACGGAGCAGGAGGACACGGGAGGGAAATAAAGCAGCTATACCCTAAAACAGGATGAGATGGGAAAGGCCGAGGAACGGTGTGAAAAATTACAAATGAGATGAGACAGGACAGAGATGATGAAAAAGCGAAGGAGTAATACAGAAAAGGATATTTGGAGGTGAAGAGAACTGCCAACACAACTGTGAGTGCAAGGTAGACGAAATCAGGAATTTAAAGAGGCACGCGGAGTAATGATGATTTTGAAAGCTCATTTAAATAATCAGCTACCTCCCCCTATGTTTTATTCATGTTTATAATAGTTACCGCTCATGACTCCTGATTCACTTGCGATTCTGAGCTCACCGGGCCCCTTCCTGTGACTGACAAGCCTGATGATTCAGAAAGAGATGGTCTGTCTCTCAGGAGAGTTAAGCAACAAACACTCAGAGTGACATCAGCAAGTCGGCTGCATCACGACAGCTCACCTCGGCGGGCACAGCATCACGCAGACACAGGAAGGAGGCTTATTTGTTCCCAGGGGGATAAACAACACAAACTAGTAGTGGAAAAAAAAAAGGGGGGGGGGGGGGAAAAAAAAGAAAGAGGTGCAGTCTGCGGTAAAGAGTTGTCCAGAGTGGAGCCCTGCAAGTAAACAAATCTCTTATCCCCACAAGTAAACAAGCCACTTACTGGCTGTTAAAGAGATGGCTCGGTGATATACACACAGCGACATTTGGAAAATGCGCTCTGAATAATTGATTTTGCATCAGGATATGAGCAGAGAATCCAACGTTTGCCGCCATCCGTCGACACCAAAGGCATAAACAGCAACGCACCTATGAATTGTCTTCTTCGTGGATCGATCCAGCTATTCTCCCACCGGAGCATCCTGAAGAAGACCACCACGCTTTGAAGACAGATTAAACTAAAACCTCTTTATACACACCAGGAGCTGTCGATGAAAAAAAATGTGTTGACTGACATTCATTGTGCAATTACTTATTTATGTATTTCTCATGTCTTATTATAAAAATGTAGACATGCACTACTGGCTTATCCCTGTTTTAATCACGATATGGTGAAGTCTGGAGGCTCATATCCCCAGACATATGATAAATACTAATAACCCACTTGCTGATTACTGCTTGCTGCTTGTAAAGGCAAATTTGATATTCTTGGATCTGTTACTTTAAATTATTAAAACTGTGGCTGCGTAAAATGAGGCCACTGTATCTTAGCATGTTTAAATACCAATATCGCCACAAGAAACGTTAAACAAATCCTCCACTTGTACTGGTGTCAGGTTGTCACTGTCAGCGAGACGGACAACAGAGCAGTGGATGCTTTCCAGAGGGACTCCAGTGATCTCCAGTGTAGAGAAGATGTGAGTAAGGCATATTTTTGCTCGCTGTTTGACACAGTTGGAATATTCACAAGACCAGAGGAAACAACTGCATGAGTGCTGGTTTCGTTATGTACTAAAGTGGCCGTATAGTTTTGCACAAACTGGGTGTTTGTGGGAAATATAACTTGATTTGTCACTTGGCTGAAGCTGCACTTGAGTGCTCAAGCTGACATAATCAGGTTTAACAAAACCAGGTTTAGAGCCTATCCTGGTTTCTGAAGCTTAGATATTATGTTTACAAACACTAAAACAGCGTAGTTTAAAGATCCGTCCATGTCCTCATGTGAATGCAGTCTATGGGAATTACAAGTGTGTCATAGCAACGACACCTACAAATGAATAACGCAACAGTAACACTTTATAAAATGCACTTACTTGCGATGAGAAAAATTAGCTAGCAGTTAGCTCTATGCAGGTTACAGTATTTGTGTTGTTTTCTTGAATAGTTTTCCTAATTATGTTTAAACCAAAGTAAACATTGATTCATTTTTCATGATAACTGAGTCATTATTGAATTATTTATGTCAAATAGTTTTCTCTCCTGCTGACCAATTGGCTATTTTTGTGCGACAGCTAGGCTACCTATGCTAACAGCAAATTCACTGTGAGTGTAATAGGTGAAGATGGTTTCTATTTAACCTATAATTAGTTTAAAATTATACAGTTTTAGTAACTTTATAAGTACTATGAATTTAAAATCTTGTAATATTAACCACTATTTCTTAGCAGTGACAGCCAAACATATATCGAAGCAAAGTTTAAAGCCAAAAAGTAGTTTCAGCGCATAAAACCACAAATTTTCATTAATGCAACTAGTTGCTCACTTACTTTGGATTTGACTTCACAAGACGTAAAATGATAATTAATCATTTTTATTGGCGTTAGTTATTTATCTTTGAACAGGCTAGCTGGCTAGCCATCTTCCACATGTTCCAGTCTTTATGCCAAGCCAGCTGGATGCTCTATAGCTACACAAAGCACAGGTGTATGATAATGATATTGACTTTGACACCTCGTTCTCTTAAAGAAAGCAAATAAGTGGAAATGTCTCCTTACTGTAAAAACACAGGTGTCACCAGGTGAGTGCTTTAAGTAAAGAGCAGCTGCATTATGAGGTTCCATTAGCATTAGCATTAGCAGCAACAGGTGTGACACCATGTAAGGTGATGTGCTATAAAATATGTAACATTGCATATGTTTTCTTGTGAAACCTTTTTACTTTAGTAGATAATCTAAATGCATATGAATGCAGGAATGGTGGACTCCACTACTGCCAGTAAAAAGGAAATAAATTGTGTCTAATGTGTCTAAAAATGCAGACATTAAAGAGTAAACAAATGCCTAAAGCCTCAAATTTAGTGTTTAATGTTGCATAGCAGCCTTGTTCAACACTGCCCACATGCTTTCTGGTTTATCTGGTCCTACTTTCAGGAAACAGTTGCAGGCTTAGCGTAGTACAATACTAATTTTAATGAAGACTGTGTCATTTTCTCAGCAGCTCCATAGATATGCTCTTTAACCATTAACTGTGACATTATCAATGTAATTTCAAAAAAATTGCCGGAGTGCGGTGGTGGGATGCATCATTACTCCCACTTCTGTCAAAATCTGATCAACCGTGTTCACGTTACTGTGTGTGTGTGAGGGACAGATGGACGAACAAATGAACAAACGTTTGTTCATTCCTTCATCCATCTGTCCTTTTCAAGCAAGTATCTCACTCAAACTTAACATCCCTGTCCAAATTTCATCTTCGGGGGTGGGTGATAATGTGAGCTTTACACGCAAAGCAAGAAAGGTCAGCGAGGCAGCTTCGTTGGTGTTTTGAACAGAGTCATCGCTGGCTAGAAACAGGCCTGAAATATAAAGTGCTCACAACAAATTAGCGGTCTGCTTCCAGCCTTACTAAATTTCACTTCACACATTATAGCTTTATTTATATTTTTCTTGCCGCTCTGGTTTTATTAGTGCAACGGCAACCGAATGAGGAGCGAAGAGCAGAAAAAACAGGACGGGGATAAAAAAGCGAAGATGTAACATGGCAGATGAGAGACAAGCAAGAACAGAGAAGTGATGGGAAGTACAGAGAAATACGCAACACAAGGCTAAACTAATTGTGTTTAATTTTAGGCACATTGACCTCAGGCTGAACTGATTTACTGATTTAGAAGTTGTGACTGGCTCCAGGCTATTTTCAGTGCAACCACTTTCACTCTGCGGTCACAGTATTGATTTATGTTCATCTGTAGCATGAAAATCAATCAATCCAGGCTGTGGGATTTCAGAGGAAAAGCAAAATACGGGTAAGGATGTGTAGTGGAACGGTTTACTTTTTTTGGTCACTTTAATGTCAAGCGATCCGACTTTCTTCTCACTTCACAAAACCTCCCCACTGCTTCAATAAACTGGGCTGCATGTGGACGGACTTCCAGCCACGGTGGTTCTTACGTGCCCCTAAAGAAGTTCTTAGCAAGTGATAATCTGGGTTGTCGTCGTTGAAGAGTCCTAACACGTCACTTTGTTGTTTAGCATCTGTCAAACCACTTTAGTTGCATCTGGGAGCAATATTAACACTGCAAATGAAGAAGTCCAGTCAACGTACGCTTTAAAAAACACACCAAATTAAAAAAAAAAAAAAAAAAAGCAAATATTAGCAGCTATAGCAGCTGCTAAGCTAAGTAGCTAGCCTAAAAAGCTATTTACCTTTACCACTGCTAACACCACTATAGTTACATTAGCTACCATAGTTTTGTTTTAATAAAATTTTCCAGTGAAGTTAAAGCAAACTTTTGAAATGTCACGAAAATGAAAGCAGCAAATAAGGTTTATTTTTGTTGACCGTTTTGGAGTGAATAAACGAGGCTGCATAGCGGCGTCAGAAGGTAACGCTATAGGCTACTTTAACACGTCTAACATTAGAGATTTTGTGAATTTTCCTCGGGATAAACGAAGAATCGAATACGTAACAACTACAAAATATTAGCAATTGCTGCTAAGCTAAGTAGCTAGGCTAAATAGCTTTTACTTATGTCAGCTTGTCCTCCACAACTACAGTAACTTTAGCTACGATAGCTTTGTTTGATTACAATTGTCTAGCAAATTTCAAATAAAAAAAAACTTTAAAAATGTCACAAAATTTTTTTTTAAAAGCAAACAAGGTTTATTTCTGTTCACCATTCTGGAATGAATAAGCGAGGCCGCATAGTGTCGGCAGAAAGTGACTGTACAGGCTATTTTAACACGTCTGACATTATCTATCTATCTATCTATCTATCTATCTATCTATCTATCTATCTATCTATCTATCTATCTATCTATCTATCTATCTACAGAAGTAAGCACAGTAGAAAAAGCAATAAACAAAACCAGTTTGCAAACCGCTAAGAACCTCAAAGCGGAAGACGAAACAAAACTTTGTTCATCTGCAAGAGTACGTCTTCAGCAATTGTTTTCAGTCAGAAAAGTTGGAATTATTCTTTCTCGTCAGCTCGTGTTGGTCATGTTGTCTGGAAATGAAAGCAGCAGAGT